GGGATCTTACCTGCCCTGAGAATAGCCCCATTTCTGCTTCAGAGTAGAATCTGTCTCCCCCAGAATTATCTCTCTTCTCACAGCCCAAAAGTCAGATGGGCACCAGCTTTTTCCTTTCAGCAGCTGGATTCATTCCCTTTTTCTCCCTTTTTTTCTCTATTCCCCCTGTCAGCAAACCCACCCTCCCCAGGCTGAGCACAAGACACATAGAGCAAACTCTACCACATATAGAGCAAGGTCGACATGCACAAAAATACCATATTTGGCCAGTTTGATCCAGAGTTGAGTGAGAGCTTGCCAGAAAGAGAATCATACAATTTAAATTGAAAGAGAGTGAGTTTAACCCTTCATTTATAAATATGATGATAAATCACCCAGGGAACTTTAAACACAGGAAGGCTGAAAAGCTAAACACACACTGCTGCCACCCCAGGCAGCAGAATAACACCAGCAGGCAGGACAGGGTGAGGGGAACAGGGAGGATGATAGAGGAGCCAGGTTGCCATATCAGATGTTCCTGTTCAGGACAGGGAGATGAGAAAAGCTGAAGCTGTTTATACTAAATTACACTCGTGCTTGTTAACGTCCTTTTCAACTTTCCGATCCCAGTGTGTGGCTCTGGTGTTCTCTGGGTCTGCACACAGAGATCCTTTCTACACACCGATAAATAATCCTTTTGGCATGCAGTCAGGGCAAAACTCACTTGTCTGACCTGCCTTTTCTTCTGTATCCTATTACTGGAATTGCTGAGCCAGATCCAAAAGTCCCCTGGGCAAAGGAAGTGAACCCTGTTAATTTCAGGAAGGTCAGGGTGAGCCTTAAGGCTGTCACCAGGCACAAGGTTGGGTGAAATGGAATATGGGATGGTCAAGGATCTCCTCCTGGAGCAGACACAGCACTGGGCTGCCTATGCTAAGTTAACAAGTGTGATGCCAAGCAGTGAGTGAGTGAGGGAAGAGGCTGCAGGACCTGTTTTCAGCACAGTGACCATCTGTTTCCTATTTGGCCCAAGAATGATGGAACTGGTTGTGTCATACAACAATGAGAAAGTATTTCAGAGCAAGTCGCCCTCTCTCAGTGCTGAGCAGGGACCTTTATCAGAACGAGGGAAAGCAGGTCAACCTCCATTCTCTGTCCCTCCCTTTATCCCATTTCTACCCAGATTCCTGCTGTACTTTTAAGGAAATGCTACCCACAGTTTCCCAGACAGACAGACAAAATCCAGCCTGAGAGGTGTAATATAACAGCCTAGGCCAACTGGCACAGTCAGACAGCACTCAAAAGGATGCATGTTTACCCATCTTGGGCTTTGCAGACTGCCAGCTCCAAGAAACAGGGATTGCATGGAAATCTGGGGGGCTGAGAGATCAGGAAGGTATGAAGTAGACTAAGCTCCAAGCTCTTTGAGGATTTTAGGAAGGGGGTTAACCCAAAATCTATTTGCTTTGTAAATAAAGGTGGTTCTTGCAGCTCTGCATGAGCTCATGCCATACTCATGAGTAATAAATAGGGCATAACACAGCAAAATAAAGGTATGCAGAGGCTGCAAAGCTTTTCAATAATTTAGCCATGCCCCTCACTGACTTCCATATGCCACCACATCATGGTGATGAGTAGCTGAAATTACTCACTTTAACACCTGCATGAGGTGACCTGCATGTCTGATGGTAGAGAAAGAGACTTGGTTGAGATAGTATTTGGACTTGGAGAGGGGAAGAATTCAAAATCTTTGGAAATGTTTAGCTTTGCTCAGACACTAGGTCAAGCTGCCTTTCTGTGTTGCAAATAGGGGCAATGTACCTTTCTCACAGGCTTGGAGTCCCACAATGGAAAAATCCTTAGCAGCTGTAAACTGGGGGTTTGGTCCAGCTCCATCTCATTAAAAACACTCAGAGGAATTCTGTTGCTTTGCTAGTCCAGTTCTCCATCCTTTCTGCTTGTGAGCCATGAGATGAGAGCCGTCCCACAAAGAAAGGAAGAGGCCATTCACCCAAACATCCATCAGTAACAATTTGATTAGATGAAGATTTTTCCCACCACAGCCCAAGAGGCAGCTTTTCCACAGACTGTCAGGGAGGAAATCTTCAGGATTAATTAAACTTGCTGGGACTTCTTTCATGTAGTTGTTTGGATTTTGAGTTCAGATAAGGCAGCGATGGACTGGGAAAGCTCTAATGCAGCACTTCTTTGCATATTTAATTTGGCAAACACAATGTTACCTGTTGTTTTTCTGCAGTTTACAATATCTGGATTTTATTTCCTTGCACATGGGGCTCAGTAGAAAAGGTGGCTGTGTAAGCCAAGACATTGTATATGCTGATTATTTTAATTTTCTATTTGTCTGTAACACATCCTACATCCCTCAAAGGCATTGTGAGGATGAAGAACGTTTGAATGTATTTGGAATTGCTGATTTCATTGAGACAAGAAAGGCAAAATAAGATGAATATCAGGTGTTTGTGATAAGGGATCTCAGACTGAACAAAAATCTCCCAGAGGAGGCAAGCTACTAACAAGAGGCAAAATCAGAGCAAACAGCCAGTGCCATGGAATTACAATGAGAAGACAAATGCATGTGTAATTCAATAGAGTTTAGTGCAAGCTCAGGGATGGGATGGGTGATTTTGTCTTCTCCCCTTGCTCAGGTATGTGTCTGAACACAGATATACAAGCTCACACTGCACTCCAGGGGCAACAAAGTCTTTCTTTATTCCTTGGCTTCCACAATGCTCCTCTTGATAGCATCTGCAAAGAGAAAGCTGGGAGCAGATCCAGGCATCTGCTCATTTCAGTTTGTTTTCATAATTAACAAAGTGAAACAAACAAACAGAGAAGATGGTGAGAATTTTAGGAAATCAGTAGAAAATGAGCCAGGATTTTGCATCAACCCCATGCATCTTTCTCAGATGCCAGACTTTGTAACTCCACTACCTTCAGCCTACTTTGGGGCCAGTTTTTCCTGGTTTTCTCTGACAGTATGCTTGGCACAAAATGTGAAGAGACAAGACTCTCCCTCAGGAGTCTGCAGGCTCAGTCAGACCCAGACAAAATGCCATGAACATGTGTGCTACTTTGGCTGCCACCAAAGCACAGTGCAGCGGGAGGTAACCTGGTCACTCCCAAAACACATGATGTTCCAATGTCTGGTTTCTGCTGGGGATGGCCTAGAGGGAAAAGGGGACAGAAACTAGCATTGTTCCTCTCTGCCCAGTAGCTCTTTGGGGCATTACAGGTGGCCTGACCCCAGATTTCAGGATTTCAGTCCTGCAGTGTATTCTGGCACTAAGTTGGATCTCAGAATGGCTTTGAGCATCAGCCATTCCAATGGACAATTCAACTCCTTGGGCTTCAGTGTCTCAGTGTCTACCTAAATAAAAGAAATTGACATTTGATTAGAAATATCCTTCTGAGCTCAAGGACATTAAAAACCAGCTTTTTCCTTCAAACCAGTTCCACAGACTGAGAGGCAAGAAGAAACTAGAGCAATCCCCAGATTCCAAGCCAACAAACCCAAGATCCATCATGATGGCAAAGTCACTTCTCCAAGAATTTTCACACCTGGTCTTCTAAATTCTCAGTCCTAATCTCATCTTTTTTTCAACAAATGTTCTGCTTCACTCTCACCTGCCTTGAATGAACCAAGCAGAGTAATCACAACTAGGGTGTAGCATTCCATGAGGACTGTTGATCTTGAATGTTGCCAAACACTGGTGAGACACATTAGGAGTGTTGTATGCAGGAAATGCAGAGAGACATGGGGGGCAGGCAGAAGAAGGCTTTGGCACTCAAGAGGCAGGCTCAGAGCTGCTGTGGTGTTCTCTGGACTCAGTTAGTACTGTCCCTGCAGAACATTTTCTTTTGGGCAGCAGGAACTCTCCTTAGGACCTACTTTTCACTTTTGTCCTAAGTAGCTTCCTCCTCCACTTTGTACACAGCCACCAACAGCTTGAAGCACCTCACAGGTGATACAGCACCTTTGGTCCATCCTCCTGATCCCCATAAGCACAAAAGGATTGAAGGAAGGGAAAAAAAAATCTGCCAGATGATGGGGTATGCTTGGGGGAACTGGATGGACATCCTGACTCCCTCAGCAATTCCAGACTTCCACACTGAGACACCCAGCCCAGGCACACTGCAGTTCTGTGAGCACTGGAAGATGTGTTTGCAGCTCCTTGTCTCCCAGTCCTTCTGCATTTGGCTCATTAGCAGGGATTTCAAACCCTCATAAATCAACTCTTTCAGCATCATTCTCTGCTGATCCAAGCTGATTTTTTTAACCTCAAAGCCCTGCCCAGCCACTTTGAGATATTCCAGACATTTTTCAACCATTTATTTTTATTGAAACCAGCCAAGTCTCTGTATATATTGGGTCTTTTTTTTTTATCTTTTAATATACAAATCAGTTTAAAATAGTGTATAAGTCAGGAATGATTTGCAAATTAAACTGTCAAATCCTGGCAGGACCAGTGGCTTACACCCTTAGCTTGAAATCTTCTGGCTGCTGTTGCTGTGAACACAGATCTGTAGAAGATGCCACACAACCTGCTTCTGCTTTCTCAGACAATTCAGCCTTTCTTTGATTTCAGAGAAATCTTACAGCTCCTGAAAACACTGCTGCATGTAACTCTCTAATGGGATCACCTGCCCAAGGCAAGGGAAATGATATTTTAGGAATCAAATGCTGGGGTTATGGTTTTGCAAAGGTCTTCTGGCCTTAAAATCATTTTGTACAAGGAAGAGGAAGAGAAACTTGAAGTGGAGTGTGTATCTCTTCCCTAAAACATGCATCTGGAACCACTGCAAGGCACTAATTATAAGCCCAGGTATTTCCTTGCAATTATTGGTAATCCCATATTGGTAGATGAGGATCTACTCAGGATGTGCAAATATGTTGGTTAAAATGTTTTTAGGTGACAAGATTTTTGAGCCCTAAGGAATGCTGACATATTTATCACTATACCTCCATTTCTTTTCTTCCAGATTGCTGGAAGTCAGTGACCATGCCGACCTCCTCCACCCAAATGCCACCCCTTGACTCTATCAACTCCACCGAGGAACCTAACTACAACATCAACTTGTTCTCCAAGTTCCTCAACTCAGACAAACAACTGTTCACAGATTTTTATAACCTGTGGATTGTCCTGATGGTAGTCAATGCCATCATTTTCCTGGTGGGTGTTGTGCTGAACAGCTTGGCGCTGTATGTCTTCTGCTTCCGTACCAAGACAAAAACCACCTCTGTTATTTACACCATCAACTTGATCGTGACTGATCTCCTGGTGGGCTTTTCCTTGCCTGTCCGGATCATCATGTTCTACAGTTCAGGGGATTGCAAGAATTGTTCCTTGGTTCACATCTTTGGCTACTTTGTCAACATGTACTGCAGCATCCTCTTCCTGACGTGCATCTGCGTTGACCGCTACCTGGCAATAGTGCAGGTGGAAGCCTCACGTAAATGGAGGAACCCCACCTGTGCCAAGGGGATCTGCATCTTCATTTGGATCTTTGCCACCGTGGTGACATTCTCCATCCTGACCATGGCGATACGGTTTGCTGAGTGCTGCCTCTCCAAGATCCTGGTCCTGATGGTCTGCGAGTACTTCTTCCCCCTCATCATAATCATCTTCTTCACCACCAGGATTATGTGTGCCCTGTCCAAGCCCAGTCTCATGCACCAGAGTAGGGAGAGGAGAATGAGGGCTGTGCAGCTCCTTATCACCGTCCTCATCATCTTCATGATCTGCTTCACTCCTTTCCACGTGCTACAGGTCGCAATCTCCATCAACCCAGACATGCCCCACAACGTCAGCCTCCTCGTCTACCACGTGACAGTGACTCTGAGCAGCCTCAATAGCTGCATGGACCCCATTGTCTATTGCTTTGTCACCAATAACTTCCAGTCAACCATGAAAAACATCTTCAGGAAAGCCGAACCAGAGCAAACTAATGCAGACATCCTGGGTATGAACAAGAACTCCAAGGGCTCCAATGCAAACATCGCCTTCTCAAACACAATAGGAAGTCCTCTGAGCTTGCCATCACCAAGCAGTGTTCAGATATAACCCACATGTGATGGGACACGTTGAAGTAAGCCAGTGCCATGATGCTGGAATATTGACAGGATGCGCAGTACTATAGTTTTTGAACTCTTTGTGTTTTAGGCTGAGGTTCAGACTGATAGTGGTGGAATTTATTCCTCAAGAACATTGTGGTCTGTTTGGAAATGGAACCTACAATGCTGTTAGTATCATACAAAAGAGTCCATAATTACTGTTCCCAGCAGGGAAGTTTTCTTTGTATTTTAATACAGACATTTTGCTAGCAACAAACTCTTTACTGTGGTTTTCTTTGTGTGTTTGTCATCATAATGCAACACTTCTAGGATGGCTTAGAAAGCAGGATAGCTGTGGTTTGTAATGAAAGATTTTGTGCCTATATACTTAAGAATAAAGGACAAGAAGGATGTTTCCAGAGCTATCCACAACAAAGACTTTAGATGCCAATGAAATGGGAAAGAAGTATTCTAGCCCACATGTCACTAGTGACAACTCATTCATTCCTGAAAAAGTCTGAACCTTCTCAGGGAAGAGATTAAGTCAAGCAGTGAAATCTCTTGGCTATAAGAAAAAATACATGTCAATGTATATATTTTCATACACATTGTCTGTGCTGGGGAGAGGTTAAGGGTATGTTCCACCTGTATTTGGATCACTAAATCCCCTGAATTGCAGATGAGTACACAAAAATCTGTGAAAATGAAAATGAATCCCAGCAAACTCTGCTGTTCTGCTCTGTCTCCCTGAGGAACAGCCAAGATGAAAACCAGAACCAGACTATGATGCTATACCACTCTGGTTTGGTTTTTCTTCCTGGCATGTTGTAACATCAGGGCTTGATGTCCTAATTCCCCCAGCAGTCCATCCACTCAGTCACTCAAAAGTCAATACTTCCAAGCACAGAAAAAGAATGCATCTCAGGCATCTATGCTGAAATCATTCACCCCAGGACAAACTCACTAGGATGTTTTAAAGAACCATGTTTAAAGTCTCCTAAAAGCCTAAAGAGGCTAAGGATGCTGCAAAATTCTAGCCCCTGTGGTGGGGAAATGTTTTTGATGACATTATATCAATGAAACAATGCAAATGCAAAAAAAAAAAAATTATCCTAGGAAAACTGCAAAATCTGTGGCATGAACAGCAATAACTGCTGTTGTTGCTGCACATTTCCTCACCCACATCTATGGCCACTCCATCTGGAGGGCTATTATGAACTCATCAAGTCTAGTGATCAGCTTTTCCTAGCACTCACTGGTGTTACCTGTCAGAAGAGCAGGCATTGGTCCAAGCTAGAGTATCCTGGAGTAGTACTCTGCTTCCCTGAGATCTGACCGTGGTACAGCCATCTCCATCCCACAGAAACACAATATAAACAATGCCTCAAACTGCCTCTTGCAACAGGGTTTGCAGGAGTTTGCTTCTTGCAACACCTATTTGTTTAACCTAACCCATTTCCCTGACCAACCCAATGGGTATAAAACTTGAACCATCAATATCACTGCAATACAGGGAACTGGGTGTTCCAGTACCTGTTCCAGTGGAGTCTGTAATCCCCAAGCAATGCAGCTGAGTCAGTGCCCTTCTGCTGGGACCTCTATTCCTCTGAAGAGGATTTTCCCTCCAGGGGTGGTGATGAGAGCCACCAACACTATGGCACAATCCCTTGGGAGGTAAGACTGTTGCTCTGCTCATGGTTTCACTTCCCAAGGCCCAGTTGTACCATGGCTTCCTTCTGCCTCATCTATTTCCTTATTCCTGTAAATCACTGATACAGGCACCTCACAGCCAACATCTGTCAAATGATGCATCAGCACACATGGATCAGGCTGGGACTTCTCAGCCAGGCTGACCATTTCACATTTCTGACACCATTTTCCACCAGTCCCTCTGTTGGAAAAAGCAATTTTTGGCCTCAGAGATCTGCACTTTCCTGCAAACTCCCGAAAACTCAGGCCTACCAACCCACCACACATGGTCAGATCTTTCCATGCCTCCCAAGATGCTTGTAATGAAAATGTGTGCCACATACATACAGCACTGTTTTGCCAAGGCTACTCAGAGAAACAGTAGAAAATGTGCAGGCCCTGTGCATAGCTTATTTTAGCTTCTTTGTTCCAACAACCCACAGATTCACACCTCCCATTCTCTTGCTATCAACAGTATTTTTGCCATTTACAGAAATGTCTTAACATCTTTCTCAGTTCAGTTGTTCATTTGATGTCAGTATAAAATCTCTAAGATGATTTGCTTAGATTTTTTTTTAAGCTCCTAAACAATGTCTCAGTCAAAGCTCTGTCTGTCTGCTGTAAACTTCACTTGTGGTAGTCTGAATTCTCCTTACTGTCAGTGTATTATTCACTTCCCATAAAAGCCTCCTGAGACTGGATAATTCTCTTTATTTTTAATACCTATTGCCTTATCCAGAGCTTTCAGCAGTTCTTCTTCATTTTATAGCAGCTCCAAAACAGGGTCTGGTTCCTTATCAAAGACACAGTCTCTGAAAATTGGAAAGAGATCAATTTTTTCACAAACTAACATATTTTTTGTGACTTTTTGAGCTTTCTATTTAATCTATACTGTTTAACATCTTGCTTTTTCTCAGGATGCAGTACTTGCTAAACTTCTTCCCTATTTAAAATCACCCATTTGTCCTCAAGGCACAAAGTTGAAAACCAGAACCAAAAACACAGCTATCATTATATTTCTATTATATTTCCTAAATATTTCCCCAAATGGATGGCACAGTTTTGGGGGGCACCTTCCACCTGCCAGTTCCTATTGCTGCTGAAGCATCCATCTGTGTTTCTGGAGACTGGGGCAAGGTCTCTCACCCCCTGATCTGCACCGTCCCTCCGCTCAGGGTATCTCCTTGGGTTGCCTCTTATTAATCACCAAAAGGGATTAGAATTGTCCTGTTCCTACTCCAGCCTGCCCTTTCTCTAATGAGAACAGCCAGACATGACAAAATATGGACACTTCCAAGGACAATGTGTGTGATTCCACGCATCACTGAATAAATGCAGAGACTGCCAAGGTAAAGCACACACACACAAGTCAGCTTTTGCAGGGCAGCCCTTTATGCAGAGTATTTAAAGATTGAAATGCCAAATTCTCGATGATTTCAGATTCAATCCAGTACTTAGCAGTCTTTGAGGATCTGGATCATTCCCTAGAGGCTGAAACAGTAATCAGGGTGGATGGGCATTGCACGTCAAACTACCACCAGTGAGTCTGTGGTAGACAGAATGTGTTCCCTAAAGAGCTTAACAGCAATAAAGAGCTCTGTAAAAAGCCCCGACCTTTCAGGGAATTACAGCATTCATTCCTCTTTGATGTGCTGTGCTTCTCTTGTGCATCTAAAATCCTATAAAGCGAATTAGAAATATCCTCTTCTACCAGCTGCCCAGAGGCCAGCAAAGAAAGATGGTGAAAAATGTCTCACGTATTTCTTGGGAATCTCGGTCATTCCTGGGACACAAAATCTCTGACCAAGAGCCTGAGTCACAGCACACAGATATCTGCAGTCTGTTGACATGCTAGGGGAAGGGTATCCAGAAATGATTGAGTATCCTTCTCTCCTTGTTGTGTGTCTCACCTGCATTGTATCCAGCACAGCCCATGATTCAAAGCACTTCTATCTCTACGAGGTTTTTCCTGTTACAGCCCAGAAACCTGTAGCAAGGCAAAGCTGTACAACAGCCAACCCTCAGTCATTCTGCAAACATATCAGGGCCCAGAGAAGCTGAAGATCTCGAATTCTGCACCAGAAAATGAGCCCCTGACGCCACACATGGGGTTATCTGCCAGCCTAACTTCCTCCTGGGCTCTGAGCAAGCTCTGCCCTCCCTCCACAACCTCTTGGTAACTGCCAAGAGGAAACAACACAGCCACGTGCGAGGGCAATTTCTTCCTTCCTTGTCCCTCTGGGGTTTGGTCTCTTTGAGATATGCACAAGAGTCTCATTATTCAGGCTAATCAACATTACTAAGCACTGCTAGCAGGTGTGGGCTCTGTGGGCAGAAAGGCTGAGGAAAATGGAATTGCCATGTTAGGAATATGAGCACAGGTCACTCTGCTCTTCTGTACCTGTCTTCCAGGTGTAAGGGCAGGAGTGGCTCTGGGCAAGGATTTGGGAGAAGACAGGTCTGATCTTCACAGCTATTCTGGGACAGAGGAAGATGAGGAAGACACTGCAGAGGAACCCAAGCCACGAAGAAATAAAGGAGGAAGGAAAGGAGAGGGACCCAACAGATTAAACAACAAGTTGCATTCCATGAAGAGCAGGGCTAGTAAGAACAAAGATGAGGAAAGTAGGACAAGGGAAAACAGACAGGGAATGCAGGGACATGATACCTTCCAAAGGATGACTTAGGAAAACAAATGTGGGCTGGCTTGCTTTTCCCCTTCTGGACACAATTAGTCCCAACACAGGAGCTCTGGGGAAGGTGCCAGTGCTTGGATCAGAGCTGGAAGACTCCCATTTTAGGAAGAAAAAGCTTTTAAAGCAGGGCACTTTACCGCCTTCCCATGGTGAGGCCCAGGAAAGGGACAAGTGTGATCTCCCCACATTTGTCTGAGCTTTTGTGGTCGTGCAGCAGAAAACAGGAAGGCCTCCAGTGTGCTGAGAAAGAGGAAGAGGGTCTTTATTCCTATACTCTTGGGAAGTGGGTGCTGGGGATGCAGGAGGGGCTCTGGTGTGGTGTGGGAGCTCCTGGACTCGTATCAGCATCCATTGTAAATGCTGGCTACATGACGAGCAGGACTGTCATGGGAAGTTCTGAGTGAGGTTTATGATAGGTGGTGCCACCTGAAATGTCACATCACAGCACACATCCCATGCTCTGCAGGGCATCCCAGGCAGGGCAGACTGGGATTGCAGCATGTCTCCTAACACAAGAAATAATCAATCACTTCACTGTAATATTTCAGTGCTTTGTGGTGGGCCCTGTTTGGCTATTGGAGCTTAATGGGGATGCCAGGGAGAATATCCACTGCAGCCATAGAAT